GCAATGACGCCAGTAGCACGTGCACAGCCTCCGGATACACGTCATTGGTGGGCCGTTCCAGCCAATCAGATACAATGCAGAGAAGAGCAATATGACGCAAGATGTGATGCAATATTATTGGTGGAAACTAAGGTAGCCAATGATCTTTTCTTGTGTACATATATATTCACTTTCATTTCCTTCAATAAACGACTTTGTGATTCGCCTGTCTTGTGGCCTTTTTCCTCGCGTCTCGATCCTGCGGGTTATTGCGAGTTCGAGCCATTGCGGTCCAGTGTCATCGGTTTTCTAATTCGTGTTCCGTGATTCCGATTGCGTAGTTCGTGTCCTGAATTCTGTGCGTAACTTCACTACTACTACTTCCATTATCATTACAAATTGGCGTCGCGCAATGGAGCTTCCAAGTATTGAACAATTGAACCTGCAAGCCAGTCCATCCGAGATCGAGGAATGGGTAGAGCGATTTGAACTGTGGTGCAGTATTCGAAAAGATGGTGTGCAAAACCAATCGGCCCTATTTCTCACTGCTGGCGGCCGTGATCTGTATTCGCTGCTGAAAAACCTGGCATTTCCCGAGGTTCCCGCCAAACTACCATACGAGTCCTTGAAATCGCTCCTGCTCGACCACCTGCTGCCTACTGAATTCCAAGCCCACGAACGTGCTAAATTCAATTCCATGATCCGTGCTGACCACATGTCTTGCCGTGATTTCATCCTGCAGCTAAACAGACAGGCATCACGCTGCAACTACGGTGATCGTTTGGAAGAACAGATGTGTGATCGCTTGGTAGCGGGCATCAACAATCTCAGTCTACAACGCAAGTTACTGGAGAAGAAGGATTTAACTTTTGCCGAAGCCCGGAAAATTTGTGAACAGCATGATGACTTGATGAAAGTTACTTCCAGTGAAGCAGTCACATTATTCCAACGGCAGAAGACTCCACCGAATCGACCGCCAACGGCCAAACGTGCACCAAAGCCGCAGAAAGATTCCCCAGGTAACGAAAAACGAATCAATCCATGTTTGTCTTGTGGAGATCACCACCTACGCTCCAATTGCCGCTTTCGTAATGCCAAATGTCATGCCTGCGGAAAAATTGGCCACATTCGGAGAGTATGTAAACAAACTCGTTGCAATCTTACACAGCCAAATGCTTCAAACGACACACACCTTGTGCTCTCTCTGCGTTCTGAAGGCCCAGCCACCCAATTTCTGTACCGAGATTTGACATTACAATCTGGTACAACTCACAAATTTATTGTTGACACTGGAAGTAAGGAATCTATTATTTCTAATGCTGTGCTTCGATCCATATGCCCCCAAGCAAAAATCCAACCGACATCCGTGCGAATTCTTGGTGTAACTGGACACCAATTACCATTGATTGGCGAGGTTTCATTGATGGTTCACTCAACAGAAAATCGCCTTGTCCCAATCCGCTTCCTTATTGCGAAAAAGAGTCCATCCATACTTGGCCTAACTGCAATTCGCGCTCTGAACCATTCTATGTCGCTCCATACGAGTTCCCTGCCCAATGTGCACACCCGTCTACAGCGACTGATTGTGCAATGTTCAAATAACACAGGAGGCATGAAAGTTCGATTGACCAAACTGGAAATTAACGGTGAACCCATTTTCCTGAAACGACGTGTAATTCCCTACTACCAACGTGATGGTGTACTGCAGGTCTTTGAGAAAATGGAGCGCGATGGCATAATCACACGAATCACATCCAGTACGTGGGCAACCCCAATCGTGATCGCAATCAAGAGTGACGGCAAAACACCGCGAGTTTTGCCGACTACCGCTTAACACTCAACCCGCGGTTGCGAAAGTGTGCGGCTACCACCATGGAACCGGAGGATTTCATGAAAGCATTGCACTGTAGCACATGCTTCTCGAAGATTGAATTGGCCGATGCATACCTCCAGATTCCACATGCACCAACCTGTCGGCACTTCATCGCTATCAACACACCATGGGAACTGTATCAATACAACTTCCTACCGTTTGGTCTCCACACATCCTCCAGCATATTCCAGGCGGCAGTTCACGAAGTCATCCGTGGACTCGATGGCATGTTAGCGTACCAGGACGATGTAATTGTATTTGGCACAACAAAGGCCGAGCATGGCGATAGACTTCTCAAACTACTGGAGCGGTTTGCCCAAAAGAACATGTCAATTTGCGCCTCCAAATGCACGTTCAGCTCACCAGAATTGGAATTCTTGTGTTTCACAGTAGATGCAAAAGGCTATCGCCCTGATCCAAGCCGCGTCCGCCCATTGACTAAACTCGAGTCACCAAGAGATCAAAACCAACTTAGATCCATCATGGGATGTTTCCAATACTATTCGCGTTTCATCCCGAACTTCGCCACAAAAGCCCAACCAATGTTTGCTGCTCAGTCGACTGCGGAATAAAAATGGACTACCGAGTGTGAACAAACTCTGCGTGAAATCATTCAGATGATAACTGACCGACCAGTACTCACTTCGTTCTCTCCGACAAAACATCCAACTTTGATCACCGACGCATCAGATGTTGGCATTGGTGCCGTCCTCGAACAGAACGGATGTCCGATTGTCTGCATCTCCCGTCTACTCAACAAAGCAGAACGAGGATATTCGCAGACGCAAAAAGATGCACTAGCTATATATTGGGCCGTCCGTCGCCTACACAAATACCTTTTTGGAATGCGTTTCATCATCGTAACCGACCATCAAGCGTTGCAATATTTATTCAGTCCACTAAAGTCGGTCTCAAAACCGACGGCGGCGATGATTCAGCGATGGAGCATTGCATTGGCTGCTTACGACTATGACATAGTGCACCGTCCGGGCAAAGCAATTCCCCAGGCCGATGTTCTCTCGCGGTGGTCCAAATTCTCGGAGGCTAAGAGATTTCACATCATTGCAACTGCTGCCCCGAGAGAGTTGCGCCGATGTACCGAAAGATACTATGCAGAAATCATAACGCCTATATCAAAAGGATGGCGTCCCGACCTGAAGCGGAAGTTCGCAGCATTCTATGCACACCGTGAAGAAATCAGTGTCCAACCTGACGGAATACTATGCCGCAACGATCGACTGGTCATCCCACCTCCGTTACGCAAAGCAATGCTGGAAGACCTACATAAAGGCCACCTAAGGGTGGAGAAGATGAAGTCGTTGGCAAGACAGATGTGTTGGTGGCCCGGTCTAGATGAAGACATTGGTCGAACTGCTAAGAACTGCGAAGCATGCCAACAAAAGCAGAAGTCAAAACCGAAGATTTGGGTCCCATGGCCAGAAAGCTGTATTCCTCGGCAACGTGTGCACGTCGACTTCTGTGGACCATTTCTTGGCCATTATCACGCACTAGTACTTATTGATTCATACTCAAAATGGCCTGAAGTGTTTCTATCCAGCACACCAACTACATCGTTTGTGATGCGTGTACTACGAAAATGTTTAAGTCGAGAGTGTGTTCCTCAAGTGTTGGTGACTGACAATGGATCGCAGTTCTGCGCGGCAGAGTTGAAAACGTGGCTGGACAGTATTGGATGCCGACATCTACGCACAGGACCACGTCACCCCTGATCGAACGGCGCAGCAGAAAATTTGGTGAAAACAGTGAAGAGTGCAATTTCCTCTGCAAA